GACTCCTCCGAGTCCGACAGCCTTGCTCTATTAGCACTAAGGCTCCATATTTTTTTGGGGGGGGGGGGGGGGAGGAGAGGACTCTGCTCAGTGGTAGCGCTTGGGTTAAACCCTGAAAAAATCCTAGAAAACTGAATAGGCCAAAAGAAGGCAAGAAAGAGAGTAACCATTTGGAAACACAGGGGGCAGCCATGATCAATGTGCTTTTTCTTCCCCTGAAGGTCTCCCTGTGGGCTCTGGAGGATCCATTATGAAAGAAGGTGGGAGACTTTTCCCCAGAACCCTTGTTTACAGGAGACTTTGGAACCCTTGGTGGGAAGAGATTTTTCATTCTTTTCCAAAAAAATGTTAGCCCCGATAAGGTCCCTTCATCTCGGCTCTTTATTTGAACCAGGGCCTTCACAATAGAAGGGAAGGCTGCCAACTTTCCTTTGTGAAGGTCAGCTGGATGGAGAATGCAGGCTGGTCTAATGCAGTGCTTCTCAACCTTGGCAGCTTTAATCTTTAAAATCACGTGAAATATAAGTACTGCTTTGTAAAGACTTAATAAGGCCACACCTGGAATACGGCATCCAGTTTTGGTCACCACATTACAAAAAAAAGATGTTAGGACTTTGGAAAAAGTGCAGAGAAGGGCAACTAAGAGGATTAAAAACTGGAGAGTAAAACATAAGAAGAACGGTTGCAGGACTTGAGTTTGGCTAGTCTAGAGAAAAAAAGGACTAGGAGGGGCATGATCTGTGGTGGCATTCAGCCGGTTCGGACTGGTTCAGGTGAACCAGTAGTGGCGACCTGCAGGTGGGCTGACCACTCGCCCCGGCACTATGCTGTTCTTTTTAGCCACATTTTCTAAGATGCATGCATGTGTGCAAGCTGTGCGCATGAGCAAAGCACATGCGTGGAAAGCCGTGCGCATGCATGCTTGCTCACATTTTCAGTGTGCAGCAAACCAGTGGTAATATTATGTGAAACCCACCTCTGGATATGATAGCAGTATTCCAATATTTGAGAGGCTGCCACAAAGAGGAGGGAGTCAATTTAGAGCCGAGGTGGCGCAGTGGTTAAATGCAGCACAGCAGACNCTTTTTTTGGCCATGCCCCACCTAAGCATCTTTAAAATCCTGATTCTGCCCCCCTTATAATTCTTATTTTACTCAAAAAGTGTACCCTACTCACATGGAGGAAGCCTAAAAGGCCATGAACTTGGTTTAAACAAGTTAATGGGGGCAATTTGTTTAAACAACAAATTGCCCCCATTAAAAATGAAATTGCCCCCCTGTGGGGCATAAGCCCCACTTTGGGAACTACTGGGTTAAATAGATATTTGTGTTTGTTTTCTCTGTTTTAGGGAAGCCCTTGGGGAAGATCCGGATGCAAAAAAATTTGTAGAAGAGGAACAGAGCAGGAGTTATAAGCAAATAGAGGACAGTAGACAGGTTAGTAGAGAATTGAGGAATCACAGTGTGAATCACAACGTATGACATATGGAGAAAAGGTATTCACTCCATAGCCTATCCAACAAGGCAGAATAAGACAGAAACTTGATTTCTCAATAGTTTGTGTTTAAGAACTATTATAAAAGTTTGAAAAAGGATTATATTTAATTAAACAATTAAATTTAAATATAACTAAAACCATAGGAGAATGTCTTCAAGATCTTACATACAGTGTAGCCATACCATAAGAACCCCACTCATGGGATCTTCAGGCCTGCAGACAAAATCAAGGCTTAAGGGATTGCTAGAAAATCGGTATGATCAGGGCCAATCTCAATCTGGATGGGTAAATGTTCTGCAGAGATGATGCCATGATAGTGAATGTTTGCCTCTGTGGTACTGTCAGATGAAGTTGCTCAGCAGACGAGACCTGAATATGCCCCACCACTCCCTGCCTGCATTCTGGGGCTAGATGTAGGTAGACAGGTAGATGTAACCTGGGAGAGGCAGTTCTTCAAATACTATTTATATTCTGCAAATCCTATAACTGAATTTGATATATTGTATGAATGTATAATATGATTCTGGCATATTTTCTTTCAGAGATTGGCCAAATTGTTGCTTGATGGCACACAGCTAGTAACAAACATCCAGGTGGCAGCTGATGCTCGGGAGGCACACAGGAGATCAGAGGAAGAAGAGCTGACTCGGCAAAGGTAAGACCTCTGTATTGGCATCCCTTGCAACTGTGCAGTGTTGAGGACGTGGAAAAAGGATAAAAATAAAGCTGAATATTGTTAGGGTTGTCTTAATAAAGCACGTTCCACTTGAGTTGGGGTATCTGGGGGCTTAAAGGTCAAGATGGTAGCTGTAACTGCACAACCAGAACCCTGCATCTTTTAAAATACATTGTGTGTACATTGCAGGATGCCTTCAAGAAGATGGTAAATTTTTTATTAATGGCTATGGCTTATAAAAGCCATCTGATGTTCTCTTCATGTTACTTATTGTTTTCAGACCTCATATATATATGTATATGTTTGCGTGTTTTGTCCATATATGTATAATTAATGTATTTTTAATGATTTGTCTTGGTTTGCAAATAAATATTCCTTGACAATTGTAATGCCCACCCCATCCCCCACAGATATCTTTGCTTTTGAGTAGAAATTAAACATGGCATCTGTACTTCATTTTAATGCATTAGCTTGAACTTGAATGAACTAAAAGGCCCAGCAGACAAAGAAAAGACTGCTTTGTACAATTTTTTAAAATTTGAAGTTTGGATTTCCACCAAAAAGAAAGACTGAGGAAGGAACAGAGCTAATGTTCCAAGGATCATTTCAGATTATTCATGAT